AGAGGGTGGGCCAGTGTTGCGGGGGTGAAGGAACGCCCCTAAGGAAATGCTGCACAAGAAGCTGGAGTCAGATGTGGGGATCAGGGAGGCTTTGTTTCAATGGGCGTGATCTGGGTGCTGGGAACAGGGGCTGAAGTCTGTGTGTCCCTACCACCAGCAGGATGGAGGTTCGCCTTAGAGAGAGGTGGCCCCAGAAAGACCCAGGGACCCCAGGCCCAAAGGAGAGAAGGAGGTGACACTCCGGAAACCGCTTCAGTCCAAGGCCACACACCAAATGGGAGACTTACATCCAGCCTGCCCTCCTGCCTTTTCCTGAACTTATACACCTGCGCATGCATGCACGCACATGTGGATATGCACGCACACGCACGTGTACACACACACGCACGTGCATGCACATACACAGACACCCAGAGGACGTAGGGTCCTCTGCAGGGAAGGCCTGAAGGTGTGCACATTTGGAGGTTGTGATGACCTTCACAGGGAGGCTGTACCTCACGTAGAAAAGCCCCTCTTAAGCATTGGCAGCCCACCATGTGTCAGGGACACACCTGGAATGTTCAGGGCGCCAAGAGCACAGGGAGGGAAGGAGAGATGCTTGCAGAGCAGAGGGACCAGGAAATGGGGACTATCACAGGGACCTGCAGCCCAGGACCCCCGAGGAGGGTGGCAGAAACCTTGGCCGGGCAAGAGGTCCAGCAGCCCCTGCCCACCTTGCCACCAGGCTCCCCTTGCTGGCTGGGCCCCCAAGGTGTGAGTGCATGGCCACGGGCTAGAACTTTCTACCCAGGTCCCCTGCCTCCTGCATATTTGCAGGGACCTTTGCTAAAGGCAAGCCCGTCTGTGGAGAGAGAGGGGTATCGGGCCCCACTCTGCAGATGCAGACACTGAAGGCGAAGGCGGCTGAATCAAACATCCAGAACCATAGCCCCCTACCCTCCTGCCCCCTCCCTGTCCCCCGCCAGGCCCACCCCTAAATGACAAGTCCCAGTGCTGCCTAGGGGGCTGACCCGAGCCTGTGCTGGGAGCCGCAGCAGGCTGGGGAAAGTATTTTTGGGTGAGAAATGGCTTTGAAAACAGTTAGAAAAACAAAAGAAAAAGCGTAGACATAAACTTTGTGCCAGCCTGCCTGGTCCCAAGGCCTCGGAAACTGTGGGTGCTGCCTCCTGGTGGTAACACCTGCAAATTGCGCCTCTGGGACGCTTCCCCCTGGACTTGATTTTCAGACAAGTCTAGAGAATGAGCAATTTTTTTTAATTTTTATTTTTTGGCAAAAGCTTGCGACTAGGCCCCTTTGGTCCTGGGGAACAGTAGACAGTGAGCCGCAGGGCAGGGCCTCTCCATGCCGTGGATTCCCGCCTGTCCTTTCTCACATAATCTCAAGCAAGGCTTATTTACAGCTCCTTGTCTGCCTTCCACTGGGGTGGCATCGGAGTGCCTGCCTGGCTTTTCTCACCCCACATCTCTTGGGGAAGTTCCCTCTTAGGACACATGGCCCTGCCTCATTGGCTGGAGTGACTGTGTGGTATTCCCTCTCGGGAGCGTGCCATGCTGCATTTAACCCTTCATCCCCTGTAGATGGAAGGCTAGGCTGGATCCAGTCTTTTGCAACCTGAACAATGTTGGAGGAATACGATTTGTGTGCTGGGGGAGATGCAGCCCTAGAAGTGAAGCTGATGCAGCAAGGGGAGCCAGGGAGGCATGTTGTAAATGGTGGGGGGTGGTTCCAAATGGCCCTTGAGAGTCCACCCCACCACCAATATGCAAGGTGCCTGTGCTCCCACTCCTGGCGTGACAGGTAGAAAGTGATATTTTTCTTAGTTATAATTTGCATTGATTTTCTTAGGCTAGGGATTTTGAATCACATGTGTATCCTAGGGGCCAGGCAAGAGCTATGTTTCATTTTCCACAGAAAACCTCAGATCATTGGCCTGAGCAGAGAGGAATGAGAAGCTGGGGCACCTTCTTCATGTCCTCAAGAGCAGCAAGTCTCTGTTCTGGTCATTCAAACTCAGTGCCCTAAAAATGACCATCATGTGGCCTTGCATGGCTCTGTGGGGTGGCGGGGCTCAGCTGGGTGCATCTTCTGCTGCTCTTGCTTGGGGTCTCTCAAGTAGATGGTCCTGGGGATGGAGCCATTGGAGGCTTGGCTCTGATGCTGCGATGGTCAGGCCTCGCTTCTCCTCCAGGTGATCTCAGGACCTGTCCCTCTTCATGGGGCCTCTCCACCTGGATGACCTGAGTGGTGCTCAAAGCTCCTAAGGGAACAAAAACCAAGGGTGTCAGGCCTTCTTGAGGTGGAGGCCCAGAGTGGCACAGTCTCACCCCCACAGCACTCTCCTGGAATGAGTCCCAGATAGTCCACAAGGGAGTGATGTTGGGTGACCGAGCTCTGGGCATGGTCTCTCAACACTCACTACCCCAACCTCAGAGTGTGGTCTGGGTTTCAGAATCTCACATTGAAACATTTGAAATGTGTGCACATGTTTAGTCTTCCTGATTGAATCAATCCAGTTCATTTTCACTTAGTAACATCTTGTAGCCCGGTGTTCTTTCTGTGCTCTGAGGGCTGGCAGCGTCTCCCCTGCTCATGCTTCCAGGGCATAGTTTGTGTTTGATTCCAGAGGTGAGTAGGAGCAAGTAAGCCTTGGGTGTGTGGCACCAAGTTTGCTGGTCCTGGGGGCTTTACTTTCCTCCTTTAGGCCTCTCTGAGCTCTGGGCACCGGACATGAAGGAAGCCACCGGCTGGTGAAGTGACACTAACTCATCCCAAGTTCCCATCTCCCCCCTGTAAATGTCAGAGTGACACTGATGACCCCTAAGAGTCCTAGCAGCTCTGTCACTAGAGATTCCTGAATCTAAGAGCGTGTGTGAGGAAGAGGGGCAGCACCAGCCCTGGGGCCGCTGTGTGGCCCTCAGGCTTGGAGCACCCACCTGGGAGTTGGTCAGACCGACCCCCAGGTGCAGCTCTGTGACTGGGAACAATATCTTAAAGACTCAGTTTTGTCATCTGTAAAATGGAGTGTGAACGACGGATGCTGTGCAACACAGTCCAGCAGGTCCTCAAAAAATGAAACGGAGTTATCATGTGACCCAGCCATTCTTCTCCTAGGTATATACCCGAGAAAATGGAAAACATTTGTCCACACAAACATGTGGATGTGAATGTTCACAGCAGCATCATTCATGATAGCCAGAAAGTGGAATCAACCCAAATGCCCTTTCCCTGATGAATGTGTAACAGATGTGTCTGTCCGTTCCGCCTAAAGAGGAACGAAGGTCTAATACACAGCACGGCAAGACATGGTGAACCCTGAAAACACGAAGCCAAGTGCAAGGAGCCAGGCACAAAAGACCACGTGTTGTACGATTTCATTAATATGAAATGTCCAGAATAGGCAAATCCACAGAGACAGAAAGGAGATGAGTCGTTGCCAGGGGCTGAGGAGAGGGGATGGGGAGTGACTGCTGATGAGACAGGGTTTCTGTTTGGGATAAAAATGGTCTCAGATTAGTGGCCATGGCTGCACAACCTTGTGATGTGTTGTACATTTTAAAATGGCAAATGTGATGCTATACAAATGTCTCAATTTTTTTTTTTTTTTCAGACGGAGTCTCACTCTGACGCCAGGCTGGAGTGCAGTGGCGAGATCTCGGCTCACTGCAACCTCTGCCTCCTGGGTTCAAGAGATTCTCCTGCCTCAGCCTCCTGAGTAGCTGGGACTACAGATGCATGCCACCATGCCCAACTAATTTTTGTATTTTTAGTAGCGACAGGGTTTCACCATGTTGGCCAGAATGGTCTCAATCTCTTGACCTCGTGATCCGCCCACCTCAGCCTCCCAAAGTGCTGGGATTACAGGTATGAGCCACCACGTCCAGACTCAATTTTTTTAATGGGGGTAGTTGTCCATCATCAGAGCGGGAGGATGAGGAGGGTGCTGTAGGGGAAGTGCCCGGCACAAAGTGGGACTCGCTCTTCTCGACATGTCGTTTTAAATCTGGCTCATCTGTCCTTCCACCCAGTGCCTAGAGGATGCCCAGCTCCAGGGACAAGGAAGAGCTTTTGGGATAAGGAGAACTTCCAAGGGGAGGGCTTTTGCCTGGGCTAGGCCTGTCTCTGGCATCCAAACCTGGAGGCACAAGTCCTGAGTCACAGGGCGGCCAGGTGCCCTGATGCCCAAGGCCCACCTGGTGGCACCTGCAGTCCTGGGTCTCAGTGTGATGTCACCTGTCCTACTCTCAAACCACAGTGGGCCCTCTGTGTCATGCGCCCTAAACCTGTGGATTCAACCAACAGCGGCTGTAAAATACTCAGTAAAGAAAGTGAATAGTTGCATCTGTACTGAACCTCAGCAGCCATTTTATCTTGTCGTTATTCCCTAAACAATACAGTATAACACCCATCTACATGGCATCTATATTGTATTTGGTATTATAAGTAATCTAGAGATGACTCTAATTGTACACAAGGATGTGCATCGGTTATATGCAAATGCGAGGCCATCTTGTATCAGACACTCGGACATCCGTGGATTTTGGTATCTGTGGGGGATCCTGGAACCAATCCCCCATGGATACCAAGGGACGACTATAAACGCTCACCCAGAAAGCTTTCTCCTTGGAGGAAGGGCCCAGTTCAGTATGCCCAGGGACATGCTCCCTGGAGCACTGTTTATCTGTCCAGTCACCCATCAGCCCATCTCCAGCGCTCTCCCAATTACAGCCCTAGCAAGTGGAGACAAGAAGACCCAGCTCATATTTCCAGCTCCCGTTTCCAGCTTCGAGGCCTTGGGAAGTTGCTGCCAGGATCGGGGGAGGGATCAACCTCCTCCAGGACCCAGAGAGCATCCCAGCAGCCTCAGGGTCAGGAAAGGAGCCCAGCCTCTCCAGGAGCCAGACCGGCCCGCAGCAGGGAGATGGGGGGATGTGGACTGCTTGAGCCTAAGGAGGGAAAGAGGAGAAGGCACTGCAGAGAGGGGTCTCATGCTGTCTTGCAGCTCTCCTGGGGCTGAAGCTGAGTGCGGATCAGCTGGCCCTGGTCTACAGCACGCTGGGGCTCTGCCTGTGTGCCGTCCTCTGCTGCTTCCTGATGGTGGTGGCCTGCTTCCTCAAGAAGGAGGGGTCCCTGCTCCTGCCAGCCCCGCTCAAGGTCCTGTCAAAATCCGGCCAAGTCGTCCCAGGGTGAGTGCGTGAAACTGGGGTCCTCGCCCTTCTCGCTGCTTGGGTGACAAGCCGCGGGCCATCCCTCAGTCCTGTCACTGCCCCTGCTTCTAAGTGGAGAGGCCCGGGGCTCATCCCTGTTATTCAGGCCCGGGGCTCATCCCTGTTATTCGCTGTAGCTTGATAAAATCAGTTTAAGACATCCTGGCAGGCAGATACCCAGGAGAGTGGCACCCGGGAAGGGTGGGTGTGGGGTGCCGGCCCTCAGGTTTGCCTGGGCCCAGGATTCTCAGGATGCGGGGCCTTCAGGGCTAAGCCCAGGAGGAGGTGTCCCCTTGGGGGGTGTGGCAGGCTTGGTGCTGTACAGAAATGAGAGCCACAACCCAGGGTAGGGACCCACGGGAAGGTGGCAGGATGGCGGGGCTCAGGAGCCTTCCTGGGCAGCACTGACAGCCCAAAATACCAGGCAGGATGCGGGGCCCCGGAAACTCATCCATAGCTGGTGGGAATGCGACAGGGCACAGCCACTTTGTAAGTCAGATGGGCTGTGGCTCACAAAGCTCCGTGGCCTCGTACCACGCGTCCCCAAAGTGTCACAGATATTGACCACACTGATTTGAACATTGACTTGCAAATAAAACCCGCATGCCACATTCACTGCTTGATTGATTGTCGCTCATACCCGGAGGCTGCCCAGATGATCTTCACATGGGAACTGGGGAGGAAGGGGGTTCCACTCTTCAGACAGAGACAACTCAGTGAGGAAAAGGAGCGAACCCCTGATGCCCGCAGGAACATGGGTGGATCTTAGATGTGTATTACTGAGGGAACCAAGCCAGACCCAACAGGCTACCACCACAGGATTCCAATTCATCGGCCATTCTGGAAAAGGGCAAAGCATAGAGACAAGAGAACAGGTCAGGATGGCCAGGCACTGACAGAGCTGGGAGACTGCAAAGGGGACACGCTGGGGATGAGGATGAAGGAGCCGCTCCAGGAGGGGCTGCCGTGGTGGACGGGAGGCTCCTGCACATTAGTTAAGAAACCGTGGACTGCCATGTCCGAAGACTGCGACTTCAATGTGTGCAAAGTGAGAAAAAAGGGGGAGAAAAAAATCAACCAGAGTGAAAATGATCACTGATCGACTGCACCGCCTGTGTATTTGCATCGCAAGGAATGTGGGTTTTACTGAAAAACTCCTAAAAACTAGGTGTCCCGAGAGCTCAACAGATCATCTGAACCCAGAATTGGTTCGATTTCAGCGGTTTGTAGACAAAATGAAACTGACAGCAATCCACACAAAACAAAACCCCCTTTTCCCTCTTTTCTAGGCAGCAGGAATTATGTGACATCCTCGTGGCCTATTCTGCATATAACCCTGTGAATTATTCCCGGGCAGCGATATTCCTGGGCCACGAACCCATATTCACAGGCATGGGTGTCTCTCGGGGGTGTTGGCACTTCTTGAAAAGTCAGTGTTTGTGACCCACCAGGATGTAGTAGGCAGGACTCAAGCTCACTGCTGGCGTGGACACCCAAGCAAGGGGGCAGCGCAAGGGGTCAAACTGAGATGGAAAGGGGTTGAGGCCCAGAATCCTGGTGTCACCTGCACCCAACCACCACGTCTCAGACGAAGAAATGACCTTCCCCTCCTGGTGTTGCCCCGAGGCCCAGGAGCTTGGCAGGGTCGCATGCAGATGGTCCTCACAGGAGACAGGTTTGACAAGTGGCTGAGGTGCCTGATGGGCCAGGCTCTTGTCATGAAATGAGTTTGCACCCTGAGGAAACCTCTTCTTCACCAGAAACCTGGAAGGGATCCAATTTCCCCTTTGCCCGAACCCCGTAGGAGCCCAGCAGACAGGGAGGGGGTCACCCAGGTGGTTGCTCCTGCTCAGCCCCCGCTTTCCAGACCATTCCAGGCAGGAAGAGCCACTAAGCCGACTCCATGGGCTGCCCACATTTGGTGTGCACCCAGCTGCTCTCCTGTGCCCAGCGGGCAGCCCCTGGGCCATCACAGGACCCTTTGTGTGGTGGTCAGCACCCTGCCACCTGCCCTCATGGTGGGTGCAGTCCACAGGTGCTACTCCAGGCCTACCACAGTGGCCTCCCCGGCCTGGCCCAGGATAGGGGGCATGAGCAATCCTTGTCTGTGCCCTTTCGAGCCATGTGAGCTTGGGTGCTCGCTGCAGGAATCCCTCCAGGCTCCTTGTCAACTGAGTCATGTGTGACCTGTTCAGTCCTCATTCTGAGTGCCAGGGGAGAGGTGCAGCCTCTGCACCCCAAATCCCCGGGGACCTGTGGCAGGTGTCCCTGAGGACCTCTGCCATCTCTGGTGACGTGAGTCCTCCCAGGTGGCCTCAGCCCTCCCAGGAGACTTCCTTCCATGGTGACTCTGGCTCTTGCAGGAGGTGGGCTACCACAGCGACCCGAGCCGCATCACCGCCACCCGAGCCGCATCACCGCCATCCTCCTCCTGTATCTGCTGGAGGAAGATGCTTTCTGGGTGTTGGACAGCTGCTGGACAGTCAGAGGCACTCCCTGCAGGGTAGGTGGACAGTTGCCCCCGGGCCTCTCACAGCCAGGCCAGGGGACGGCCACCCTGGCCGGTGATCCCAACTTCCAGGCAAGGTGTCTTCCTTGCATCCCAGCTTGTTTGGAGTCTCCAGGATGTCCCTGCTGAGGTCCCACAGCAGCCTGGGCCTGGACAGGGACCCTCTCACCTCAAGTCAGACGCTTTTCATCCCCAACAGCAGAGGGACCCATACCTCCCCCTGGCCGCCCTCTGTCGCCCAAAGCCAGCCCCGACTTTGTGCAGGCGCCACTCACCTCCCTGAGGGTCCTCCTGCCTCCCAGCTGGCTGCGCTCCCAGCCACCCTCCCTGCACATGAATGGGCCGACGAAGCCCAGATAGCAATGTCTGCCCATCCCATGTCCCCTAGCCTGACCCCACATCCAGCACCCCAGCACCCACCCCCTTCTCCCTGCTGGCACCCACCTGCCTCAGCCCTGCCCCATGGTGTCAGAGGCAGGCCTGTCCTCCTGGCACCTCGACCCAGGAAGCCACTGGGCAGCGCTTCCAGCCAGGGCCCTCCTCCTCAGGGCTGAGGCTGTGTGGTGGGATCACTGGATGGTAGAGAGGGAGGCCTTGGGGCCCGGGGTCCCCTGCCACTACCCAGCAATTCCAGCTGACGCCTCCACATCTTGGGTGTGGGCTCTGATGGGGTGATGGGTCGGGGGCTTCTCAGTATTCTACAGCCCAAATATTGCCTGGCTCCAGAGGCGCCTATCGCACCAGGACCAGGTGCTGCCAAGTCCTTCCCGAAGATCATGAGACGCCTGGTGAGTGAACGACACCCTGGGTCCCATGGGCCAGAGGAGACTCGAGCCCCTCATGGGGCTGGCAAGAGGCCGAGTCCCAGCCACGGCCCGACCTGGGATGGGGATTCTCCATGAATTCGAAGTTGGGTGTCCTTTTCCTGCCCCAGAGGATCCAGAGGCGCTGGGAGCAGGGCTGAGCTCTGGCTAAGCAGGGCTAAGGGAAGTGTGTCCACCGGGCGTCGTGCATGGATGTGTTGGGAGACCCTTGGGCTTTGCCCCCTGAGGAAGGGTCTGCAGAGGGCCCTGGAAGGGAGGATTGCAGGGCAACTCAAGGGGCCCTGAGCACCTCTGCCCCTCCCTTTAGGACAAGGAAGGGCTGTGCGTTGATGGTTTCATGCTGCAGTGGCTCCTCCGGTGTTGCACTGATGGGGCAAGGAGGCACAGGGAGACCCCAGCCCATGAACACAATGCCCAGCTGCCGCAGCCCAGGGGTCCAGCTCCACCAGGAGGACTCTGCTCACCCCCAGCCCGTAGGAGGCACAGGCAGGTCCCTGCATGACACACACACCAGGCCCTGCTTGAGAGGGGGCATCCCATGGCAGAGGCCAGGGCTTAGGCCCAGCCTTATGGGCAGACTGGGCCAGGACCCGACTTGGGAGGACCCAAGGAAGCCCAAAGTCCTCAGGAAGCCCCTCCTTCCAGAAGCCACATCACTGCTGAGGTGTGTCCCCCATGAGGAGCTGCAGGACCTGGTCTGACCCAGCTTTATAGGGGGGTCTCATCCCATGGAGAGGAGTCCCCAGCACTCCAGGGGACTGAAACCCCAGGGCGCTCTGCTCAGGCCTCCGATCCCAGCCCAGAAAGACAGGTCCTCCCACACTTGCTGTCCTCACGAAATCCTTCGGGCTCACCCTGTAACTGTGGGATGTGCTCGTCTTGGAGGGCGAGCGGGTACTGATGGCCATGGCGCATGCATCATTCAAAAAACACAGGAGTAAGTCCCGTGTGCCCGAGGGTGCCTTGGGGAGCACGAGGCACAGACACCGGCTGGCCTGAGGGACGTGTCCTTACACTGTTCCTGTGACTCTCTGCTCTGTCTCAAGGAGGGGTCTGGCCTGGTGGGCTGGGCAAGGCATGATGACACTGAGCCCACCCTGTACATGACCCAGATGAAAGTCAGGAGTGTGGTGAGCACTTCCCTGCCCGGCCTCCCCCAGCGGTGGCCTCCTGTGCACAGCCGGACCCTGGGGTGGCCAAAAAGGACCTGGCATCACCCAGTGGGAGGTGGGCCTGGTGGAAACAGGGAGCGGACACCGATCCCCTGCAGGGAACCCTCCCAGCCTGATGCCCACCCTGTCCCTAGAGCGCCTCATGAAGCTTTGCTAGAGCACCGTCTGGGAGTTTCAGGAGCGACTGTCTCAGAGCTGGGCCCTGGAGGACAACACGGTCCTCAGGAACCTTCAAACCTCCATGAAGGAACTCACAAGGAAACACTGGGACCTGTCACCCCCAGGTGAGCCCCAGCACCAGGTCCCCTCCCGAGTCACCCTCTGGGACAGTCAGTGGTGGGGAGTGCCCTGGCCCCACCAGCCCTCCTACCTGGTCTTCCTCCTGCATCTCTTCCTCCTCTACTCTTTTTATTTGTTTGTTTTTCTGAGACAGAGTCTCGCTCTGTCACCAGGCTGGAGTGCAGTGAGTCGATCTCGGCTCACTGGAACCTCCGCCTCCCAGGTTCAAGCAATTCTCCTGCCTCAGCCTCCCGAGTAGCTGAGACTTCAGGCACACGCCACCACACCCAGCTAATTTTTGTATTTTTAGTAGAGACGGGGTTTCACCATGTTGGCCAGGCTGGTCTCGATCTCTTGACTTTGTGATCCGCCCGCCTCGGCCTCCCACAGTGCTGGGATTACAGGCGTTGAGCCACCGCACCGGCCTTCTCCCTCTATTCTAAGGAAATAAAATGGGTCTGCCAGCCCTCAGGGCAGGCACTGAGCGCATGTGTCCTGGCCATGAGGTACAGATTGGCAATGGCTGTGGGCAGGACCCCCGACTTCCTTCCCCCACTTTCCACATTGTCCCCATCGCCCTCTCAAAGGGCCCTGAAGGGCACTGGGACAGTCAGACCCAGGTGTGGGAGCCCCTGCCCCCACCTCCAAGCAGCAGGAACCCCTCATTCTTGAGTGCCCCTCCAAGGGTGTCAAGACAACAAACCAGGTGGACAAGAGAATCAGTGTCCCTGACCCAGAGAGGATTTGGGCAGAGGGCACGGGGGGAAGCCCCGACCCAGAGCCAGAACCAAGAGTTCAGCCGGGCGTGGGATCGGTCCAGCCCTGGCATGGGGTGGACGGCCTGGAGGAGAGAGGGAAACCCGTGCCCATTCACTTCTCACTCACTGTGGAGACAGACCCCATGCGAGGTGGCAAGGGGGTGGGTAATAGTGAAGGTCCCTTTCACCTGAGTTCTGACTCGGGGCTGCTGAATAGCCTGAGATGAGGGCATGAGGCAGGAAGCCCCAAGCCAGCCGGTACCCTGGGGACCATTTCAGGAGCGACCTGAGGTTCCCTGAAAGCTCCCCTACCCCAGGCTGCACACAGCCCTCACCCGGGGATCAGCAGCCTGCAGGGGTGTCCTCAGTGTCTGGCCAGGGGGTCACACGGGGACCTGGAGGACTCCAGAGGCCCAGGCCTGTGCGGCCCAGCCCTGGAGAGGCCCCATGGGCTCGGTGAAGATGCCGACCATGTCGGTTTTTTCCAGCAGAACTCAAGTGAGCATCCTCAAGGGCGTCCCCTGGCATTGGGCCCCTATGTGAGGGGGACAGACTGGCTCTCCCCACCCCACCAGCTCAGCTCCAGGGACTCATGCCATCAGTCCCTGCAGGACAAAAGCCTTGTCCTCCCCCAGCTTGGCCTGACTGGGCTGTCCTCAAGGCTGAGGCCGAGGCCCAGCAGCACAAGGCGGCTTCACCAGAACCCAGTGAGGCAAGCCACTCTGTGAGGGGCCCAGAGGCTCAAGATGAGGCCAGCCTGTCACCCAGTGAGGTCAGGCCTTGTATATGAAAATGCCTGTGCTGGAACTCTATGCCACAGCGCCCGACAGACCTGGACGTTGGGAGCCCATGGTTCCCCAGCTACAATTTTGAACAGGGCTACTGTGCCCCTGTCACTTCCAACATCTTACCTGGGCAGCTCTGGAACCACAGGCCAGGCCTGGTCCAGCAAACCCCCTGGGACCCTGATACCAGGCCCTGCCTGGGCTTATGACAGAGAGGACGCAGGTCGAGAGACCCCCCAGCAGCAAGGTGGCGCCTGCCTGCAAACCCCCCTCGGTAGAAGAAGAACTTGGAATGGAAGGAGCCCAGACGGTACCCGCCCAGCTGCCTTACAGCCCCAGATGGCTGCTGGACCTTGGTTTTTATTGCTATTTTATTGTTTGGCCTTTGGGCCTTGGGAAATTCCATTTAGTGGGGAACTCGGTCCCATCAAGGCCTCTGGAGGGAAGGCTGAGCATGGGGGCCCTGCAGCCCCAGCCAGCCAGCCTCAGGCCAGGGGGCCACACGGGGACCCTAGGACTCCAGAGGCCCAGGCCTGTGGGGCTCAGCCCCGGAGAGGCCCTTGGGGCCTCTGACTCCACCTGTGGGTCAGAGCCCATCCCCCAGGTCCTGAGTCCCAGGCCAAGGGGCCTGGCTTCAACTCCAGTCCTAGGAGGACAGGGGCACCGCAGGCCCCCAGGTGACCACGTAGGGGACCAGGGCACTGTGAGCCCTGATGCTGTAAGGATTCACATCGGAGAACCTGGGCAAGCCACGCCAGAGACGCTGAGCCCGTGCAGTGATGAGGATGTGGGGGGCTGGCTCAAGGGGGTCAACAGCTGTGAACACTGCTGCCCTTTCCCGGCCTCATTGCTGCAGTGCAGGCAGTCTGCACCCCGGAGACTGGCCCACCAGCGCCCCGAGTGCCGCAGCTTGCTATGCCAACATGGCACCTGGAGGCTTCGAGGCCCCGCCTGCCGCACCATCTCCCTCCTGGAAGCCTTGTCCTGCAGCCTAGCCCCTGCCGCAGCCACAGCAGGGACCACTGCCAAGCGCCTTCCAGCCGGGCTTCCCAGAGGGCAGGGGTGCCCTGCAATCATCACCTCAGCAGCTCATACTGTGAAGATAGTTTCATCCACATTCCCATGTTCCCACCAAAGAGAACTGCTGCAGAGGATGCTCTTGATCCTGAGGTGGGGAAAACGGCACGCCAGGTGGATGAAGTCAGCTCCTTTCCCCAGCCACTACGACTGCTGGATGGACCCATGGACAAAGTGGCCATCAGACAGACATGGGAGGGAAGAGGCTCAGCATCCTGCTCGTGCCCTGACCGGGTTGACCAGGCCAACACCACTGCCGAGTGCTCCATCTGCTGATGAGAGACTTGGTGTCAATCCCTGGTAAGACTTGGTGTCGATCACTTTCCCAGGAGGACCAGTTGGCCACCTATGGGCAGGCTGCCCACACTGTGGAGAGGGCTGAGATCGGCCTTCACTGCAGGGAGCCCCTACCTGGACACAGACTCGCCGGCCCTGCCTGTTGCCATCACAGCAGCCCACAGGGCATTGCTTGCGACCAGGGTACCCCATTCGCAGTGAGGGACATGCAGCCGTGGCCCCTGACCAGGGAACTAACTTCTCACTATGTCAGCCGCCACCTGGAAGCAACTGGGCTTACGATCGCGGGTTATGCTGAAGTGGTAAGGTTGTCTTACCAGATGAATGTTATGCTTTCTACTGGAAACCAGTATATGGTGCTGACTCTCCCACAACCAGAAGGTGTAGTTGTGAGAGTGAAGGTGTGAAAGTGGACGATGTTGAGTATTGTACCCAAATGTCTCCAAGTTTTCCTACGCCTGTTCCGGAGAAATGGAGCTTTGCTGGTTGGAAGGTCTGAGGACCCAGGCAGAGTGAAGCTTCCCCCAGGCGACATAACAATGGTTCTATTTAATATGAGGAGACAGAACTAAGTCTGAAACCCGGAGTGTTCTCTGGTGTTCTTGGTGTTTCCATGTAAAGGAAGTCAAATAACTTGCCATAGGCCGGGCGCGGTGGCTCAAGCCTGTAATCCCAGCACTTTGGGAGGCCGAGGCGGGTGGATCACGAGGTCAGGAGATCGAGACCATCCTGGCTAACACGGTGAAACCCCGTCTCTACTAAAAATACAAAAAACTAGCCGGGCGAGGTGGCGGGCGCCTATAGTCCCAGCTACTCGGAGGCTGAGGCGGGAGAATGGCGTGAACCCGGGAGGCGGAGCTTGCAGTGAGACGAGATCGCGCCACCGCACTCCAGCCTGGGCGACACAGCGAGGCTCCGTCTCAAAAAAAAAAAAAAAAAAACTTGCCATAAAGGTTGGCCACAGAAGCATCTGAAAAAGGAGGGGGCAGAACTGTTCAGAACTCAGAGGCTTCAGAATTGAAGATGAGGCTGAGCAGGAGACTCCTGACCCGCTGAGGGCAGGGGAAGTATGTGGGGGCGGCTGGGAGAGGATGTCATCGAGGTCCACCATGGCCTCGTGACCTGTCACAGAACCATGCACTTGAATAGCTGTTCACATCTTCTCTCCACTGATGACAGTATTTCTATCCATTTGCTACTCTCCATGCAGGGAGCTTGCTACAAAATGCACACAACCACAGCCTGGGTCTTGTAATCCAAGCCTGGCAAGGATTCAGCATGTCAAGGGCTTCAGGTCTGAAGGTCCATGGCTGTCCTGAATCCAGGACGTCACCTTCCTGCCCAAAAAAGGAGGGACGAGGCTCAAGCAGCAGCAGGCCACTCACAGAAAGGGACGAAACGCTGAGTGCATGGCGTTCCTGACACCCAGCCAAGTCTTTAGGCACAAAGCCAGGCTGCAGCTCTGGCCACTGACTCAGACCAGGGACGCCCCCATGCAGGCCGGTCTGCCCTGGCTGCTCTTCTCCCTCCTGCCACCCTCTCCTCGGCTGCTTGTGTCAATAAAAGGAAAACTGGCCAGTTTTCAGAGAAAATGTAGCTTTATTATGACAGAAAAGAGACTACAAAGCATTAGGGGAAGAGGAGGAGTCACAGAGCTCCTCAAAATGGGAGGGGAAAGGAAAGAGTAAACATCTTGGTAAATAAAGTCTCCAACCACAGCACAGTCAATTGGAATTTTTTTTCTTAATTTTTATTTTCAAACTTACAGTAAACAAAACAATCACTTAAATTGGCAAAAGAACAGCAATTTTACACAATGGAAAGCATACACACCAAGCCAAAATACAATAGCACTCGGGTCTATATGTTGCAGTGGCGCTGGCGCCGGAGGGAACGCCCAGGGAGGTTGCAGTGCTCACCAGGGAGCCCAGGTCCGCAGAGGGCCCCGGGGCCGGAGGGAGGCCGCCCACATTCCCAGCACATCCCCTGTCTCAAAGCACTCCCTTCAGGCATCTGAAGAGGGAAAGGCCATGTGGCTTCCTGGGAAGCACTGAAAGGCCAGCCAGCATCTCCGAAACACAGGCCATTTTTAACACTGCTGTGAATGTGTTGGGGTCACCGAGGGGGCCCCTTAGTGGTCAGATGCACTTTGTCACAATTTACACCTACATGGGGCGATTACTAGGCAACGGGAGAACAGGTTTCCTGAATTTCATAGCCAGATGGGGAGCTAAAAGGAGAGATTCCTGAACCCAACATGTAAATATTTTGTTCCGACAAAGTAAATTCACAAGAGCACATCAAACACAAGACCTAATGCAAGGGGCAGTGCCGGGGCCGCTGCCTGCCTCCGGTGAGCAGCTCTTCAGCAGCACGCATGGGGTAACTGCTTAGAACGGCAATGCCACCGTGGAAGAAGGGGGATGAACTTGGATATAAAAGTTTAGAATAATGCCCACCAAGAATGCATGTGACTCCACCTCTCTTCCCAGTTCTAATGTTCTCAGAACAGCAGACACCCCCGAATGCAAGTGGAAAGAGGAAGGGGACCAGGGGTTGGCAGTGGGGAGGGGAGGCAGGGCCTGGCCAAACCCGGGCAGCTGCCAGAAAGGCCCAAGGCCCATACACTGCCTTCTGCATTTCCGCAAGACACCCCAGTAAACCAGGGCGTCCCAAGGTGGCAAGCCTTCAGGGAGGCACTGCCCAGAGCTCAGAATCCTGTGGGCCAACTTCAGTCAACTCTCCTATTAGATTTGTTCCTGACTAAAAGACTGCTCACAGGCCAGGCGCAGTGGCTCATGCTTGTAATCCCAGCACTTTGGGAGGCTGAGGTGGGTGGATTGCCTGAGGTCAGGAGTTCGAGACCAGCCTGGCCAACATGGTGAAACCCCATCTCTACTAAAAATACAAAAATTAGCCCGACGTGGCGGTGTACGCCTGTAGTCCCAGCTACTTGGGAGGCCGAGGCACGAGAATTGCTTGAACCCAGGAGGTAGAGGTTGCAGTGAGCCGAGACTGTGCCACTGCACTCCAGCCTGGGCAAGAAGAGCAAAACTCCATCTCAAAAAAAAAAAAAAAAAAACTGCTCATCCTCAAAAGAGATCTTCAAAGCACTGTCATCGAAACAGCAAAACTTGGTCACAAGGGGCCATTTCTGAAAATCTCAGCCCATCTGTTTCTCTGATAATTCATTTTATAAAGCATGCTTCCGCGTGAATTAAATGCAGAAAGACAACAGAAAATGAACTGAGCACGTGGGCAAGAAACCGCATCCCTAAGGCTTCTGCCGCCCATGACGGTTCTGCGGGCTGTGATCGCCAAGTCCTGTGTTCTCGTGTTTTCTACACTGAGCAGTGAGTAGCTACTCAGCTGCCACTGTCACCGCCCCCTCCCCAGCCCAGCCAGCTAAGGAGCTGGGTCTGATCCCCACCAGCTTCTCCATGGCCTGTGAGCTAAGAATACGTTTCATGTTTTTATATAGTTTAAAATAAAAAAATCTAACTTTCTTGACACGGAACATTATATGCAATTCAGATTTCTGTGTCTAAAAGTTGTACTGGACATAGCCACACTTCTGCACTATTTACGGCAGAGACCACATAGCCCACAGAGCCGACAGTGTTGACTCCCTGGCTGTCTATAAAAACATCCGCCCACCCCCGAGACAGATGATCCTGTTCCTGCAGGACTGAAGCAGCCTCAGTTCAGATGCAGCTGGGGCTCCTGGGACAAGCCAGCCTGAGACACAGTTGCTTCATAAACTATGTTTAAGTACTTTTCCTCCCTCTTGCCCCTAGTTTATAATTTCTCAGTGGACAAATGGACAAACCATCTCTGTTTGAATACACAGATACATGCAAAATATCTTACAAGGAACAACGCATATCCTTCTACTTTCTCTTTCAGTTCTGCTGACAAGCTCAATCACGATGTCATTTTACCGCCACCACGCCCGAAAGTACACTAAACGTGAAGCAGAGGCAGACGAGACAAGATGCAGGCTCCACCAGAGGCCACTCCAGATTTGCGACCAACACACTTGGCTGCCAGGCAGTGGTCGCCAGGCAATGGGACAGAAGGCAGACAAAGAAAATATGCGGGAGGGAACCTATCAGACACCGGCAGAGGCTGCATTTACTCCAGCCTGAGATACCAGAGACACAGGATGAGCTGCAGCACGACTCTCCTCCACTGCGCTCACTGCCAGCCCCCAGCAGACACCA